CTTTGAATGTCACGCCTAGAACATTCCTTCTCCTTCGCTCCTCTCCTCGTTACCTAACTATAACTCGCTCTATCAGCTTCACTTCATCTCTTCCGCTCTCCTCTTCGATCATGTCTCAGAGACAGGTACAGGATCGTCTCCATTTCTGTTGATGTTGATTTTGTTGAACTCTTTATTTTTTCTATATTTATGGCGTAGTAGCGGACGCAGTTTGTTCCTTTGTTTGGTTGTGAGGTCTATCAACAAACAATTATGTGTTTATTTAAATTTCTGCATTGTGTTGCTTTTCTTTTTGTAACAGTAACGTGGAAGTTTTATTTGAACTATTATACTTTCTGGTGCTAATCTTGGAGCGTAGAATAATTGACTACCGATTCGGCTTATTCTAGTTTGGTAAAGTGTCCAGATTCTTTGAGGGCTTTTCTTGTTTGTTAATTATCAGGAAATGGTCAATATGGTATCGTAAGAGGAATTGTAGCTTCACCTTTGTAGGCTTTGGATTGCTTTTTTCAACTGTTAATCTTTATGGCCGTTGATTGACTGTAATTCTTTTTAGCGTTGATTCTTAGCCATTCTTTACTTCAATTTTGGTTTCGAGTTGCTTTGCTATTATTTTCCTTTACTTCTCATTCTTTTTTCACCTTTTCCCTCTGTTCTCTATTAAAATAGAGATGCTGCCTGCAGTATGCATAAATATTTCTGGTTTAAATTTTGAATTGTGAATTGAAATATTGTGTTTTGCTTTTTTTTTTTTTTGGCAATCCACAGGGAAGCCGGGGTCATAGAGAACAAAGATGGAGACAGAAACCAATATCTAATGGGCATTCTTCAATCAATGAAGGCGTCTCGGCAGCTGTTTCTGAGGCAGTAACTAATCAACTTGATGGATTAAGTATTGCGGAGAACTGGATGCAAACCCATGCTTCTGCAACACCTGTTCAGTCTGGGGTTGTTCAGTCTGTGAACCAGAGTTATGTGCAAAGCCCACAAGCTATATGGAAGCCCAAGTCTTATGGAACAGTAAGTGGAGCTTCAGCTGCAAAAGTTGAAGGTGTACATGTTGATAAGATGTCAGCTCCTATACAAGGTAATGCATCTGGAGCTGTTGCAGCAGAGAAAAGCAGTGTTGGTTTGAGTAAAATATTTGGGAGTGATCTATTGGAAAATTTTACTGTGGACAACTCGACATATTCAGTTGCGCAAGTAAGAGCCACCTTCTATCCCAAATTTGAAAATGAGAAGTCTGATCAGGAGGTAACTATTTCCTGCTTCCACTTTTTATATGTGGTTAGTGATTATTTGCATCCTTTCTATGACTTAGCTGCTCATCTCTTGAGCTACAACTTTATTTAGCATTTGAAGGAAGATCTCCCAATCATCCTCTGGTCTCTGCTTATCTGTTTGGCGAAAAATAAAAAATTAATCATGTGGGCTATTGATGTTAAAATGGTCTAATGCCTATTCTTTACCAGTGGGAGTTTATTGTTTCTAATTATTTATGTTTTCTCTTCAGATCAGGACACGAATGATAGAAATAGTATCCAATGGCCTTGCTACTGTGGAGGTAGGTGATATACATATGCATGTACCCAGGGGCATGCATAAACTTTCTAGCTGATTGATGCTGTACTCTGGATGATAATGGTAATGCACTTCCCACAGGTTTCTCTTAAACACTCAGGTTCTCTTTTTATGTATGCGGGGCATGAAGGTGGAGCTTATGCCAAAAACAGTTTTGGAAATATGTATGTTAATTTCTTTTTTGTTTCTAGTCCATTCTCTGTTCTTGATTCTTAATTATTTTTGGTTTTTTTAACTTGATATCCTGCTTGTCCTATTGTTGAAGTTCGATTCCTTCTTGTCCTGTTAATTATTTTAACCTAACAGGTCCGTACTGTTAGAGGCATGCATAGGAATTTGATTTGAAAACATACTTTATGCTTTATCAGAAAGGTCTTTTGATGATTGATTGTATACTTCAACGAATGGCTAAACTTGGGCAGTTTTCAGGTTAATAGGATGAATATATTTTAAATCATGGTCATATTGCTGAATATTTACCAGAGGATGGAGCATGTTGTGCAAGAAGCGTCTTATCCCTTGTTTAATATTTTTTTCCAAGAAAAAAGAGTGGCATGTTTGTCTTGATCCTTTCTTTTGTTACTCGTAGGGGTATTTGCTAGTGTGCTGATGAACATAAGTTCTCCTATGTAGATTCACTGCTGTTGGTGTTTTTGTTCTTGGACGGATGTTTTGTGAGGCATGGGGAACTAAGGCAGCAGCGAAACAAGCGGAGTTCAATAGTTTTCTTGAGGTAACAGTATGACAAGAAATAATAAGCAATGTAAAGTTCTAAACAAAGTCTTGGAAGCATCTTTATTATACTGCATTTTTACTTTTCTGTAGAAGATACATGTTTTTTCTTGAGAAAAGTTTGTGTTAGAAGCCTGAAATAGCGAAGAATAACGATCAATTTGGAGAAAGTCTCAATATATTTGGTTATCTCCCAAAAAAGTTTCTTTAAGTTTGTACTGAACAAAGAGAAATTTTTTGGGTGCCTTCCTATTCCCTTCCTTGGGTGCTATTTAATCATTCTCTGTTATACTGGTAAATAATCGTTTCGTTGCTTGAAGTTAATGCTTAAAGAGCTGATAATGAGTACGAAATTCTGTTCCAGAGGAATCGAATGTGCATATCAATGGAATTGGTAACTGCTGTTCTGGGAGATCATGGACAGCGCCCCAGAGAAGATTATGGTTGAGTCCTTCTTCCTTAATGCTCATTTAGAAGTGTCTTTAAGCAATACTCTTGATGGTTAAATCTATATGCACTTAAAAGGCTTGTTAATTTCCATTCATAATTTATTGTCTTATGGAACTTAAAACACAGATTTGCTTGTATGTGTTTTTTTCCCGATAAGAAACTGCTCGGATGCAGTTAGCATTGATTGATGAAGAATATCATGCATGCTTGATTTATGTACACCACAAATAGATAAGGTGTATCTCTTGTTGCATTTCATTTGATCCCCTCTTACCATCTGGCTTTATGTGGTTATTATGTTTTTTTCTCTTCTTTTAAAAGAATATGAAAATGCAAAATGGCTTTAATTAAGGAATTCATTTTTTTTTTCTACTTTGAGGTTGTGGATTTCTCATGCCCAATATGTATATAGGCTTCCTCGTCAATAGATTTTGCTTACTTTTGAACTCCCCTTATGGATTCACATTCTTAATAACTGTATTGTCAACTCTGCACAAGCTTGATTCTAGCATTATATGATTGGCCATCTAGGCTGCAAAATAATTGCGGTTTTAGTACACAACCAATAGACACGAAGGCATTTAGGGTGATATGATTGCCATTTTTTTGTTGCATGCATGTATTTACTTAATTGGCTTTCTGCTATGCCAGGTTTTGGCATGGAAAATTGAACCTCACCTGATTTCCCTTGCATCAGAGAGTCTCCTCTATGAAGCTTAACCTGATTGTTATAGCAATCTCAACTGTTAATCAGTCGAATAAGAATAATATGATTAATACGTTGAATATTTGATGGAAGACATGAAAGAAATGAATTGAAAAAAAAAGGAAGTCGTAGAAAAAGACGCGGTATTTGGTTGATTTGTCCTATATGTGCAAATCTAAATCGGGCAGATCTTTACTTCTAAATTTGCATTTTGACATCCCATGATAATCATGTATTATTTTTGCACCCCGTGCACTCCCAAGTAGACTTGCACCATGTGAACCTCCACTCACACACTTTTCACCCCCTCCCCGCCCCGACCCTCAAAACCCCAAAGAAGAAGAAACTAAAAGAACAGTCGTATGAAATTATTTTTACTCTAGATCATCTAGTTACACTATAATGTTTCCATGCTTTCTTATGCAGCGGTAGTGACAGCAGTCACAGAATTGGGTAATGGCAAGCCAAAGTTCTATTCAACTCCTGAAGTAATTGCTTTCTGTCGGAAATGGCGCTTACCAACAAATCACGTGTGGTTGTTCTCAACTAGGTGATGATCTAGCATCTGTTGTCTTCCTGACAATGGTTCTTGTGGGGTTCCTTTCATGTTTATTGTTAAGCATTTTTTATGTTTGGTTTAGCAAAACTGCATTGTCTTTGGCTCAAGTGATAGCTATCGTCGGTGAGATCATGGATTCGAGTTTCATCCGTAGGGCTTGTGGCTCAAAAACTATGAGGAATTAACTGTCTCCTTCGCTATATATATATTTCTCTCTCTTATTTGAAGTTTTCTTCTTTTCTTATTACTATGAGAAAATTCTCCCCTGCTGTAATTTTTTCTTGATCTCAATAAATTTATTGGAAAAAAAAGGAGAATTGAGTACTGGCTGTTTTATACTTTACGATGTAATTTAAAAAAAAAAATCAATTCTCCTGCTTAATTGGTCAAGTGACTTAGAAAATCCAAGGGTGTGAAACCTCCAAAATTTGTTTCTGATAATGCTGCTGCATTATTTAAGGAAATCAGTCACAGCATTTTTCGCTGCATATGATGCACTATGTGAAGAAGGCACAGCAAGTCCAGTATGTAAGGCTTTAGATGAAGTTGCAGATATATCTGTGCCAGGTATGGTTTCAAGTGCATTGAAGTTAACTGTTCTCATTTGATATGTTTTTAGAGTTCTGTTCAAGAGGAGCTATGTTTCACAGGTTTGTAAATTTACTTTTGGGGTGTTTATACAGTGCCCAGTCGACTCAGAAGTCATACTGGCTGCATTTTGTTGTCATTATCACCCTTTTCATTGAAGATGCTTCATAATTTTGGTGTTAACTTGGTTCGTAATTGGTGATTCAAAAATGAGGCTTCTCTTTGTGTTCTGTGCATATCTTTGTGGGTGTTCAGTTCACCTTTGAGTTTCAACATTATCGGTGTATTATTTGATGGTGTAGAATTTTTTCCATTCAGTTCCTTTTGCTGTCTGCTGACTATAAATCAAATTGTATAAACTATGAAACTTGCAGGTTCAAAGGACCATATAAAGGTGCAAGGGGAAATCTTGGAGGGTTTAGTGGCTCGTATAGTTAATCGTGAAAGCATAAAACAAATGGAGGAGGTTTTGAGAGATTATCCTTCTCCTCCAGCTGATGGAGGTAGACCTTCTTGCTTATAGTTTCACCAGATTCTATCATCTCCCTCGTATATTCTTTTATGACTCTTGGTTTCAGGTTCTTTCTTTTTCAATAGGAAAATATTTTTGTCAGATGTTTTGCAACCATTCAGTTACATGGGCAAAAACCACATGGTGGTGCATGCATTCATGCATGGTCCAGAATGGACATTTTTGTCTCCCATGACAACTCTTGGAATTGGTTTCAATTTTTTGTTCTTTTTGTGTTAATTCCTGCTTTTCATAGTGATAGATGAACAAATTTTCTCTGTGAAGCCTTTCCTTTTCTCCATACATACATGTACTTCTTTTTTCACTGCCTTGTGTTCTCTACTGGATGAGAAATCAGTGTCAATCTCTTCTCTATTGGGATCTCTATCCTATCAGTTGGAAATAGAACTCAAATCTATACTCACTATCTGCTTATATCCTCCAGGCTGGTTAAGGTATTGCCAGGTATTCATGAAGCTAAAAAGAAGGAAAAAAAGAAACTGGTTTGCTTCTCTGATTAAAACCAATATTTAGTGTGTATTTGCTTCAGGTTTTCTAACAGCTTATTTAAAGTTAAATTTCACTTTAGTTTTTGGTAATTTCTAAGACATGGAAGTCTTAAAGAAATTAACAAGTGAAAAAAATGTGACTTGGTCGCAATAGTCTCCGTGAGTGTACTCATAGAGGAATGAAGCACTTGAGTAGGAAGAGGATAGAAATTATAAATAAACTAACAAATAAGTGCCTCGTAACTGGAGATGCCAATTGAATATTAGTTTTAGTTACTGGTTAGTGTTAATAGGAATACTATGTTGAAGCAGCTAAGGATGGTGACTTTGAGTTTTGTTAAAGGTCATCCTCTAATTGCTGGAATTTTTTAAAGGTCATCATTTTGTATGATCCCAGTATTTTGTCCCTTAAATCTCAGGGCATATACTTGCAAATGGTTCTTTGATCACCTTATTAATAGCCACAAGCACAATAAATTTCTTCTTGTGTCCTTCTGGACAATAAAAGTTTCCCCTTAGGTGAGTGTTTTCTGGACAGCAACCTTGAATAGAATTAATATCTGTGATTTGCTTTAGGTATGCATACCTCCAATTCTTCTCTTTGATGTGTATTTCATGTGTTTCCATAATTAGGAATATAACAATCGTTTATTTCTACATGAGGAGGGATAAATTTCAGGAATGCATCAAGGGGAGGGTTGACAACGGGGAGAGAATTAGTTTCTGGACGAACTCTTGGCTTAGAGGAGGGGCACTTAGAAATCAATTTGGCTAGATTTTTGCTATTGCACAGTACAAAGATATCTCAGTTTGTGAGTTGTTTGAAAACATTGGGGGAGAAAGAGAATGACATGTGGAGTTAATCAGAAACTTCAACGATTGGGAGATTACTGAGTATGAATCCCTTCTCACATTACTATCTCCAAGCTATTTGAGTGAAAGTAATGATCAATCAGTTTGGAGCCTCAACGCAGTGGGAACATTCACGGTTAAATTTTTGTTTTATAACTACTTGGTTAAGAACGACTCCATAGAGCTTTCCTTTTTGAAAAATTTAGAAGGTGAGTGCTCCTCATGAAATTGCTTTTTTTTTGCTTGGGAGGCAGGGAGGGAATGTATCATGATTATTGATAAGCTAAAGAAAAGAGGAAAGATTATGGTGAATAGATGTTTTATATGCAGGAGGGCGGAGGAGTCTTGTAATCACATCGTGCTGTGTTGTCTATTTGTGTATAAGTTTTGGACCACAATGTATGGGCTCTTGAGGATTAATTGGGAAATGGCAAACACTGTACAGGATGAGATTTGGGCTCTTAAGGGTATTAGTAGTGGGAAAAAACACTTGGATGTCATTCTCCTAGCTATTTTTATGGTGGTGTGAAAAGATAGAAACATGAGAGTTTTTGAGGGGGTGGAAGCCGATTTCGATAGGGTCAGAGATAGATGGTTCTAGACTTTTAGTTTTTGGTTGTGGATCATCCTAATTGCTATTCTGCTTGACTTTTAAATGATTATGTACATGAGTTTTGGCACCACCTTGGTGCTTGTAATTAATGATACGTAGCATACTTTTTATTTCAAAAAAAAAAAAATTTCGACCTGCACGCGCTGTTTAAATTTGTTATATGCTGCTTTGTCTTTCTGGAACTCACCTAATTTCCTTTTGTGCTTCAGCTGATCTTGATTTGGGACCAAGTCTAAGGGATATCTGTGCTGCAAATAGGTCAGATGAAAAACAGGTGACATGGAGTTCCTTTTAATGTGAGACAAAATATTTTGCATTTTTATTAGTGTTAAGAGCATTTGCAGTTGGGATTTATTTATATAGTTTTGTATAAATGTTAGGGGAATTTGCAGTTCAAATTTGTTTATATATTTTCTTTCTCCTTTTCATGGGCCAATCTGATTGGAAACGGTAATGCAGCAAATAAAAGCTCTTCTTCAAAGTGTAGGACCCTCCTTTTGTCCTGATCATTTGGATTGGTCTGGGAAAGAATCCGTTCATTCTCATTCCAGAGATGTGGGCAAATCTGTTCTTTCAAAATTTTTGCAGTCTCATCCTGCTGATTATTCAACCACCAAGTTGCAGGTGAGGTCATTATACATTTTCACTTCGCCCTAATTTGACTATTCCTGTATCAATACCAGGAAATGGTTCGTTTGATGAGAGAAAAACGTTTTCCTGCTGCCTTTAAGTGTTACCATAATCTCCACAGAATTGACTGTGTATCAAGTGATAACCTTTTTTACAAAATGGTCATCCATGTCCATAGTGACAGTGGTTTTCGGCGTTATCAGAAAGAGATGAGGTTTTCTCTAGTTAATTTTATTTTATTGCCAAGTTTCTTCAGCTTGCTGCTGTTATTCCATGTTTACTCGTCCTTATAATAATTTTCTGTAATTGGCATTTCAGGCACAAGCCTGCACTGTGGCCTTTATATCGAGGTATTCATTCAGTCATTACAGCTTAATTGTCACTTCAGTGTTCATTTTCAATTCTTAACCTAACTGCTCTGTTTTAGTTCTCACCATCACTGCCACTGTTCATTAATCGCTTGTTTATGTCATCTGCGGATGAATGTTGAAGGGATGAGTGGTGTCCACAAATGTTATTGTTCAAGGTTTTTTTTTTCTTTTGGGTGGGGGGGAGGAGAGGGGGCGGCTCTTATGAAAATATACACACATATATATATATCCAGACTATTTGGATTCTTTGAGTAGATCTACTCTTTGAACAGCTTGTGGATATACACAGTCAATCCAAAACCCTAATTAATACAGATAAGAGCTTATTTCTCTTCATTCATCGTTCTGAGCGAGTTACAGACTCCCACTTTAATGGAAAAATCTTTTGGAATAGTATGTGGTGCTTTACCTTGGAGGATATGGAGCTTGACCTTGAATTCTCTTAAATGGGTAAATCTTACTTGAAGTAACTAATTCTTGACACTTATAGAAAGCAGGTGGATGTCCTGCTTGTGAAGCAACTTCAGATAGGGTTTAAGTTTGAGGTTTTGGAGGAAGTTTTTGATAAATGCTACTATCCTAAGGAATTAGGATCAAGAGCATCTTCTCTTGTGGCCTCCTTTGTGTTTTGGAAAATTCTTGGAAGATGGTTGCAAACAAAAATAGGAAGGTATAGGCATGATTTGTCATTCCTTTGGACAAAGAGCTTATGATGATAGTGACAATATTAATGCTAGTAATATATTGATGCCAGTAAAGATATGATGATAAAATATTATTTCAAAAAAAAAAAAGGAAGATATGATGATAAAATGATAACAATTATAAGCTAATATTAAGTTGGAGCTTATAACAATGATGAGTGCGCTAACTGTGAATATGATATCAGGAATATTGATTTTATATTACCTTCAATTTGGATTAGCAAAATTAATGTTTCTTTGCATAATATAGATTTCAAGCATTCATGATTTGGATATGAATGCTTATCTCTCGATATATTAATGAACTCTTTCTTTAGGAATAGTAAATGATGCTCTACTAAGAATATTCTTTGCTTTGGTCATTTTTCCAAAAAATGGATTCAGCTCTGATAGCCCCAAATAAATTAAATACATGTATTAAAATATGAAAACTTTTTATTCTATAGTAATGAAAGCACTTTTTAACACTTTCATGTACCAGGGGATTTTACCTGGAAAAGAAAATGTTCCCTATCACTACATTTGAGTCCATAACTATGGATTCCAATGCACGTGATCTTACAGCATTTACCTATAAGGTCCTATAAATTAGTTTTACACATAAAAAACCAATTATAGACACTAATACAGTTAAATGCGCTCTTCTTGGACTATTATGGGATTTGCGATACGATAAGATCAGTTCAATATCATGGAATCATGTCATGGAATCCTTTTCGATCAAATGAGGAAGGGTGTTGCATGAAATGTATATCTAAATAATTATCCCATGGATCTTATATCTACTTATATGAAGAAGAATCATGTTATAAGGGGTTTCTTATTTGTACTATTGTTACTGTGAGCTTGAAATGAGTTGTCATGGAGCAAGGTCAAAAAGAATAAAATGAAACTGGAAGCTTGGAACAGAAGCAAGCTCATGAAGAAGGAAATGGACCTGGAAGCAGGGACTAGAAACATATGATGTTTATAAGCAGAGAACAACTGGCAAGCACGTGACACAATCCGGTGTAAATAGGGGCACGTGTCAACAATCAGCGTAAGCAAGAAATGAATGGGATACATGATCTCAATCAGTTGTAGATCAAGGAAGCATGGCAGAGATCTGGGCAGCTATCTAAGAGGAATTAGGGTTGAAGAAGAATCTCGAAGACGAGTAGTCATTTTGGGGTTGAGCAGCTAGGGTTTTTCTTCTTCCATCAGTCTATTTTTATGGAGGTTTTTCAAGTCATTTTCTCGGTGATTCTTGTTTCCACAGGTTTTGAAATACTTTGCATTTCATGTTTTAGGATGGTAGGTCTTAAGATCGAAAAAATCTTTGTGATCGAAGTCCTTTGTAGTATTTTTTTTCCTCTGATTCTTTATGTTATTGACGCATTTGTAGAGCAAGATAACGACTAAGTAGGAGATTGAAGTCCAACTAAACATGAGATTTTAATTAGTATTGGATTTGGTATATAAATTTCCTTAGTATTGGATTACTAAATAGTATATGATATCCTATTAGTATTAGATTCTTAAATTGTATAAAATTTATAATATTTTAGTTGAGTGTTCCTAATTATATTTGGATTTTTAATTAGATTATGATTCTTAAATAAGAATTATAATATTTATTTAAAGGGGTAAGCTTGTTATTAATAAAAACAAGTCAAAACTTAAACTATAAGATTGAAGGTCTTTCTAACAAAATTCAAGGTAGCAGCTCTCTTTTAAAGAGCTGTAATCTTTTTTCACAAAATAAGTCACTCTCGTAATAAGAATAAGGGTATTAACTGTTGTTGTCCGATGACTTGATCCTTAACAAGGGAACATAATACTTTCTCTCACCCTTCTCTTCTATCTAACAATCTCTTCTTCATATTCTCTCTCTAACAATCATCAGGTACATGTCAAAAGTACATGACACGAGCATGAAGACATTAACAATACTTCTTTATCTTTTCAGTTATTTTGCCAAATTCATTGAGAATATATCGTCGGGTTTGTGTTTCAACGGATATTTTAGTGGCAATTATGTAATGGTAATTAGGTGTAAAATAATTATTTAATTTGCGGATAGCGCATGTGTTGCATTTATGTGTGTTGTTAAGTGTTATTTTTTATATTTGTTTGTGTTAAATATGAGAAAATGAGAAAATTAGGGACGATAGATGAGAGCTATGCTGATGTTGGAAGTCTAGTAGGAGAAAATTAGGGAGAAACAGATGGAAGTTAAGCTGATTCTGGAAGTAACTTGCAGAATAACTGCTTCTCCTTCCTTTGTTAAAAACTTATGCCATTTTTTTGTTTGTAATTTGGGTATGAAGAAGAATTTTAAAGCTGAGTACTTGCTTACTTTAGAGATCTCAGGGTTCTCTCTTCCTAACAAGCCCTTAATATAAATCTAAAAATAGGTAAAGGCTGAAAATCAAAGAAGAACTTTGTTCTTTCAATTGATTTCTGTGTTAATTGTCCCACAACTAGCCCCATGGGTTGTGACTGTAAACAAATGGTTGTCACAGCCAGAAATTATGGATGATTTGATATCTATGTTTGAAATTTTTTCTCAAAACTTACCAAGAAGATCATGAAAATGATAATCTGAAATGAGAATTTCTGGCTGCTCGATGGGAAGAATTGTCTTCTGGCCAACCAGGTCTGAGAAGGGAGCATGCTGGCAGAACCAGCAGATCGCAGAGGCAGTAATGTTGAGAGGGAGAGAAACTTCATTCCACGATACAGAAAATTGGATTTTTCATGCTTCGATGGATTGATGGATCTTTTTCCTTGGATTGGTCTCTGTGAGCATTTTTTTGGCCATCAAAAAACAGCTGAGGAAGGGAAGGTTTTGTTGACCTAGAAACGCAAGTTTAGTTTCTAAAATTAGAAAGTGGATCTGTGCTCTTATCCTGGATGGGATTTAAAAATTTCTATCACTTCCAGTTTGATCCTCCAATTCATAGCAATAAATTAGGAGAGTTGAGTAAATTGAAACAGGTTGCTATAGTGGCAAAATACCAAAGGCAATTTGAACTATTGTCAGTCCATGCGAGTTCCCTCACATTGGAACAAGAAGTCAATATTTTTTGAAGCATATTGAAGGAATATATTTCCATCAAACTCAGAATTGAAAAATCCACGTGATTTAACAACTGCCATGAGTCTGGCACGTCATTCTAAGAAGCGACCAGTGCATGGAAGCCCTGAAATCATGCTTGCACGTTGCAATTTTTTGCCCCAAGGCATGGCCGCCACTAGTTAGCCTCTTTTGTCCCATGACCAATTACTTCCAAGCTGATCACCTCTGTCCAGAAACTCCTTGTCAGGCGCCTATCTGCACAAGAGTTAAGAGAGATGGCTTGCTCAAAATTGTTTGCTTCAACTGTGATAAAAAGCTTGAGTCTGGCTACCGCTGCAAGCACCTTTTCTGGCTTGAAGTGGAAGAACCATTAAGGTCAGAAACTCTCGGTGAAGACTTATTGGAGAGCCAACGAGAGGATCCACCTTAAGTATTATGCTCTTGTGCTTGAAGATAAGCGCAGTTTTAGGGGGTAATAATGTTATGGGGTTTGTGTTTCAACGTGTATTTAAATGTAACGGTAATTAGATGTAAAATAATTATGTGATTTGCAGATAGGGCCTGTGTTACATTTATTTGCGTTATGTGTTGTGTCATAACAGATGGGAGTTAGGCTGTTGTTGGAAGTTATATTTGTGTGTTTAGTAGAAGAAATTAGGGAGAAACAAATGGGAGTTTTGCTGATTCTGGAAGTAACTTCCAGAATAACTACTCCTTCCTTTATTAAAACCTTATGCTGTTTTTTGTTTGCAGTTTAGGTATGAAGAAGAATTTTAAAGCAGAGTACTTCCTTACTTTAGATATCGTAGGGGGCTCTCTCTTCCTAACGAGTACTTAATTTGAATCTAAAAATGTTTAAGGTAAAATATCAAAGAAAAATTTGTTCTTCCTACTAATTTTTGTGTTAATTAACGCATAACTAGATCCATTACTCGAAATCATAACAGAATGATTTTGATTTAATTCGTTACCTATCAGTAGAAGGCGCTCTAGTGGGAAACTCTTGTACAGAAAAAGATTGTAGTCAGTTTACCATGGCCATGATTATTGTTGACGGTTCTTTTTTCTACAGAACATAAACGATTGCATCTCTTACTTTTGAGTGAAGGTGTTTTTCATAGATCAAGGGGGTCTCATTCAGTTCTAGAATTTTTGTCATATAACTAATATTTGGGTATTGGTGCATTTTGTTGTGTGCTTTGTTAATATATTTTCTTTTCCTGGTAAAAATCATGTCCTATAGAAAATTTAATAGTTAGAAATCTTTACTCGAAGCCTTGTTTTTATTTTATATTTATTTTTGCCAAAGGAATCTCAATCATATGCTCATTTTGTTTTTATTTTGTATTTATTTTTGCCGATTGAATCTCAGTCATATGCTATTTTCTTTGTGTAATCAGGTTTTTTTATTGACATTAATTTATTCAAGGCAAGCAAGGAGAGAGCCGCTGAAATTGCAAAAAACAAGGACAATGTTGGGGAACATGCGAATGGTAGTGGTAGCATATTAGAACTGAATGGTTTAGCTGATGATGATGCAAATTTAATGATCAAATTGAAATTCCTGACATATAAGGTATGTGTTTTTCTTTTTCTAGTCTTACATCAGATGTACACCTAGAACTCTGTGATATAAGGCTATATTAAATTTTTGTGTTCGTGAAAAGGACACTTCCAATTTTTACAATTTTCACTGGGAATGGTTATTAGCATGAGGTAATTATAATATTTGTTTTCGTTAGTTACATTCACCTTCTTTAGTTTGCATGGTCTTTTTGGCTATCTTATTTTGTCTTGCGTCTTTCTGGAATTAAGTATATCTCATTGTGTTATTTAGCAAATGGCACTTCAAAGCAGAAAAATATAGTAGAATTGATTATTATTAATGTCAACTAAGTGTGTATACCTTGGCTCAAGCATTGCTTGTTCAGAGAGACTCAACTACATTTTTTTTGTAATATTATTTAGGCAGAAATGATTCAAAATCTTTTGCCAATTTTCACAAATCATGATTTTTACTTCCATTTTCCAATTTTTTTTTACCTTGAAAGTCATGATCACGTGAAGGGTTTCAGGAGCACCTAGGATGACCTCAAGCGAAGTTGTTTCTCTTTTCTGCTGTCTATCCAATTCTTGTGTAAACCCTCATATTGAAGCCAAACCTATTGAAGATCTCCGCAGATGACAATATTATACCATTAATATCAACTACCATAGCAGTATTATGTGGAAAGATATACTACTCTGGGCGGTACAGGAAGATGTGGGTCTCATTCCCCTAGTTATATTTTGGACGGTACAGAAAGAAAGACATAGAAGAGCTTTTGAGAGGGTGGAAGATAAGTTCAATAGGATTAGAGAAAAATAGTTCCAGGTCCTCGGGTTTTTTGGTCATGAGTCATTCTCTATATTTTGTGGAGGATTTTGGGGACCTTATTGGAATCCTGATTGACTTATAAATACTTTTGTATATGGATCGGCACCTCATTGGTGCTTGTATCTATTGTCATAATTTTTATTTTAAAAGAAAAAGTATTTTGTGGAAAGACATGCTCCCCATAGATGATCACAATTAATTTCTGAATGACCTAGGTGTAATCATAGAGATTGGCAATTTCTCCTTGTTTTTCTCTTGTATATGCTTTGCAATAATGATATTCTCTTTTTTCTTTTTTTTTGAGATAAATTTTCTCTTCTTTTCTTAATTATATGTATATACATATATGTTTATATGTAAATATATTATTTTCAAGCAACTAATACAGGTATATCTTATGGAAAGACAAAAAAGCAAGAAATATCATTTGCAGGTACCCTAAAGGGGTGCCACCCAAATATATAAGAGACATTTATAAGAAGAAATTAGTCCCAAGTGTCTATGACGTCCCCTAGATCATTCTCCCACAGAGAATATTCGTTTATGGGAAGATATGTTGCCCATGGATTATCCTAACTGAGTTCTAATCCTTCTAACTGCATGCAACCTTAACTCTTTTCAAAGACTGGAATATGTACTGCCTCTTCTGCTTTCATGATTTGGCAATTTCGATCTGACAGGATAAGATTTCCATTCTAATCATGCTTTATCCATTTTTCCCCAGCTGAGAACCTTTCTGATACGCAATGGCTTATCAGTTCTTTTCAAGGAAGGTCCAGCTGCTTACAGGGCCTATTACCTTAGGTGAGATTTGAAAACAGGAATATATTATATGGAACATGATGCCTTTACTGTTATTGTGTTAGAGCTTGGTATCTGGAGTTGTTTTAATTTTGTTAGAGTGTTGTTTTTCTCTGTGTTAGATCCTTGATGATGTTGGAATCTGATATTATTAGTTTAACTTCGTGATCTGATTTGTTTGGTTTACCTACATCAATTTTGTGATTGGAATTATCATGATTGTTTTATACGGCACCATAATTTTTTGGTTAGCTA